TATTTTATTATTACGTTTTTACGTATTATTATATTACTATAGTATGTGTGTGTTGTTGTGTGTGTTGTCGTGTGTGTGTGTGTGTGTGTGTGTGTGTGTGTGTGTGTGTGTGTGTGTGTGTGTGTGTGTGTGTGTGTGTGTGTGTGTGTGTGTGTGTGTGTGTGTGCGTGCGTGTGTGCATGTGCCTACGTGCGTGCGTGCGCGCGCGCGTGTGTGTATGTATGTGTGTACGTGTGCGTGCGTGTGTACTTGTGTGCGTGCGTATGTGTATTTTTTTAATATAAAATGAGTATTTTCACGAATCTTTAGTAATAGCATAAAAGTAATACAGCGGTTTCGCTAACAATCTATTATGTTTTAGAGCAATCAATTACAATAACTGCGCGGTGTCATGCCGCAGTGAGGGCTAGATAGGAAAAGCGGAAACGGAAGAGGAAGGAAGCATGGAAGGACGAAGGAAAGCGAAAAGCAGGAAAAATACACGACAGTTAAGACAAAAACTAATTGAAAGCGTTTATAAATAATCATCACACATAATCCAGAGACAATAAATTTTGTAAACCCGACGGATCATTATTATAAGGAAATAATTTACCGAAAGCAGAGGTCATCTGTACTACTATGGAAAAAATACCAGTAAGCACGTGTTTCGTAGATAAGTAGAACTGGACGCGAGTGTCCAGTTCGAGTAGAAAACAGGATTAAGAAATAGACAGCAGTAATCGGAATATCAATCAAATATACGGAGATGTTCTGGTTGCAGCGCAGAACCCGCGTGCTCTAGTATATACAGTGTTAGTGCATAGACAGCTGTGAATATTTACAATAATCTTTCCAACGAGGTTCGGCTCAATAATACACAAACACTAAGATTTACTAAAAGCACAGCAACAACATCGTACGGGAACTGTTGTCGCAAACTCGATTCTATCACAAGCGCGATCGAGAATGCAATCGACCGGCGACAAACGTCATCTCATGGCGTTACTTCACGTTCATGCACCGCGCACTGCGTCACAGCGTCACACACTGCGTCACAACGTCACCTGATATGTCACCGCGTCACGCAATGCGTCATAACGTGAGCTGATATGACACAGCGTTACGCATTGCGTCACAACGTCTTCTGTTAGGTCACGGCGTCACGCCAGATGACGTAGCGTCGCGTACGTTATCACAGAGTCGCGCTATGACGCAGTGGCACGAGCAACGTCACAGAAGCGCATCACAGCATTAAGGTGTGACGTCACACGCTAGAATTTCCCCGCGAAGCCGAAGTTATCTACAGTATTAGTGGCGGTCTTTTGGGATCGGCGAGATCTCGCGTGACACACGGCCGCGGCGAGAAATCCGAAGAAGAGCAGGACGACGCATGCGCTGATGCCGGCGATGAAGGTCATTCGATTAACGCAGAGGTCACCGATGGTGACCGCCTTATGGCGGAGTTTCAACATCTCACCCGTCTCTTCTACAAAAGTATAAATTTAGTAGTAATTAAAGTAAAAGTATATAGATGAATATCTGTTTGCAAATATAAAGCTAAATTAAAGTTTATTGGCCTACATTCAGGAACGGAAACCAGGTTATTTGTTCATCTATTTAAATGTAAATCGTCTTTCTATTAACCACAGCGTAGAAGTGATATTACCTACATCAGTAGAAGAGGAGGAACGGCTATAACCGGGGCGCAGGATCGGACAATCTCAATTATATGTGAACAGGCTAAACATCTTATAAATATTTTCGCGATTCCGGAGATCGGTTGGTTTTCAGAAGTCAATCGGGACGCGGGAAAGATGAAATCGAGGTTTTAACAAACTGAAAAATGGCATAAAGTGAAATCATATTTACATTGGAAACAAGGAATAGACTCAATTCGTTCTCCTTCTCAGTGAAACGAATTACAAACCTAACCCGCGCCGACGATTCTATTCCAAGCGGTTACTATATTATTTACTCATGTAAAGCTAGACTGTGCTTCCCTCTGGCGTCACCTACCGTCGTACATAACACTGTCGACGCTCGGAACCCTGACGTAGATGGTCTCTGCCATCAGCTGCTCGTCGACCGAGTCGCCCATGTTGTACTCGCGTCCGTCGGCATCGACCACCTTCGCCTTGTTGTCGTCGCTAGTCGACGTCGCCTCACGCTTCTTCCTGTTGCCGTCGCAATCGGGCTTGAGGGAGAGAAAATGCACAATCAGAATACAGCGTACAGTCCGGCAGACATGCGGGAACGAGAGTCGCGCGTCAGTACTACGAAAGATTGTTTCTCAGAGTTAGCGTCCAGTTCTTCAAGCGAAAATAGTTGCCGACATGTTGGCGATGAATGAATATTTTGCATTTAGAAATTCCATTCTTGATCTAGGAATATATGCGTCCGTGGTTACCGTAACGTGGATGCTATTGTTCCCCAATGTTTAAAAGGATACAGAGGTTCGCTGGGTATTTTAGTATTTTACAGTGAGTAATACTAGGCGTGGCGAAATAAAACGCATTTATTGTGTTGCGGTCCAGCGGCTGCTTTAGCGGTAGTCATATACTCCTTATGCCCTCTAGCAATGGACAAGAAGAAGGTCATAGCTGACACTTGAAAAGATATTTAAGAGACCATTACCATATCTATATACGTGTGTACATTGCGCTGATATGTTCATGGTGAGACCGAGAGACTACACTAACCGCATAGCAGTGGTCAAAGCAGACTCGACATTGACAGGTAAAGAAGACGTTGTCGATATCCGGGAACTTGAAAGCCTTGAAATGTGCGTAGACGTATGTGTGGCCGGGACTGAGGGCGGTGCTTCGCTGTGTGAAGCCAATCACCTTCTTGTGGGCGGGGCATCTGCAAAAATTAGTCACACCCTGGTTGTAGTCAAAGCTAATTGCTAATTAATGGCTATTATTATTGATTATTACTTATTATACTTTATCGTAATTATTCTAATTGTTATTATTGTTTCCGCTGCCGCCACTGCTGCCGCTGCTGCTGACATTCCTGATGTTACTACTGCTGATGCTGGTACCGCTGCTGATGATGATGACGACGACGGCGACGATAGCCGCGACTACGACGACGATGATGATAACGATGACAACAATAATGATGCGGTGACAACGACGACAACACCGACTACTAACGCAATCGCGATTGGAACAGCTAACGCTACATGTACCGATACTATTACTGCTACCAACGGCTAACGCTCCATTAGGAGTTTTCCCAACTTTGATATCATTAATGATTAATGATTAATGATTAATGTTTAATGATTGATAATCCTAACCCTAACCCTAACCCTAACCTAAATGACATTAAACCACAAACTAATATATGACCATGACCATTATATATATATATAGAGAGGAGAACGAGAGAGAGAGAGAGACGAGAGAGAGAGAGAGAGAGAGAGAGAAGAGAGAGAGAGAGAGCGAGAGAGAGAGAGAAAGGAGAGAGAGAGGAGGAGAGAGAGAGAGAGAGAGAGAGAGAGAGAGAGAGAGAAGAGAGGAGAGAGAGAGGAGAGAGAGAGAGGAGAGAGAGAGAGGGAGAGAGAAGAGAGAGAGAGAGAGAGAGAGAGAGAGAGAGAGAGAGAGAGAGAGAAAGAGACGGAGAAGAAGAGAAGAAGAGAGAAAGAGACGGAAGAGAAAAGAAGAGAGAGAGACGGAGAGAGAGAGAGAGAGAGAGAGAGAGAGAGAGAGAGAGAGAGAGAGAAAGAGAGAGAGAGGAGAAAGAGATAGATAGCTAGACAAATAGATAGCTAGATATAGATAGATAGAGAGACAAACAGACAGACAGGACAGGATAGATAGAGAGATAGATAGCTAGAAAGATAGTATAGCTAGATATAGATGAGATCAGAGAGACACCAACAGCAGACAGTACAGATAGATAGAGAGATAGATAGCTAGAAAGATAGATAGATAAATAGATACACAGACAGATGGATAGCAGACTAATAGATCAGAAGGTGTAATATGATTGGAACTGTGCAGTCTACGAACAACAAACTAAATACAAACAGGTCTAATTACAAACACGTCATCAGTGAGGTGACGAGTGTTCTGGACGGGTATCATGTAATAAACCTTACAATACATAGGCTCTAGAAGTGTGCGCCCTGTAACTATAATCACAGTATCCTGGACGTGCGCAGAGTTAGCTCCGTCGGTTGTGCCTACCAGAGGGCGCTGAGTACAGCTCCCTCAGTTGTCGGTGTAGTGCGCTCCTCTTGTAGCAGACTCGTCTGTGAAGGGCCACCTCCTCTTCCTCTTAGCGAGGTACTGTAGCTCTTGTTGGCGTAACAACTCCGCTGCTTTTCCTGCAGCGGATTCAACAGACGTAGGTACAATATATTTTTAAAACAACAGTGAAAGTGACCCGTGCAGGGAAGATAACTGTGCAGGCGAGGCCTGGAAAGACTTTACGGAACGAACAGACGAGTAATCTGACGAGCCACAAGGCGGGCCGGCGTTACATTGTAGCAATTTATAGAAATTGAGTATTTAGACGGCGTATTATTATAGAGTATTATTCGTGTGGCAACGGTACCGTTCGAGACAAGTTTTTCGAAATGACGATGCGATGATACAATGAATCGATACGAGACGAATGAGTATTTCGACCCGTATTATTAATAATATATTATTATAGTGTACTAAGTTATAGTATATATATAGATAGTTTCCTTATATTTTAGTATATTATTATATTATAAAGTATTATTTCGCGTTGGCGGCAGCGACACATTAAGCGAACCTTCTATTTAAGACGAGTCAGGTTTAGGTTTAGGTACATTGAAGAGCTTGAGGTGTTTAGATGCGTATTATTTAAATGAATATTATTACAAAGTATTAGGCGCTTGGCGGCGGTATATTTGTAGAGATTGAGTATTTAGTATGTGATTTTACCCAATATATTATTATAGTATACTAAGTTATATGCATATTAGATAGTTTCTTAGTATATTATTATTTTATAAAGTATTAGTCGCTCACGACACGCGGCTGCATGCACGGCGTGCGGGAGAACCACCCCACCGTGTAGTCCTCCACGTAAGTCGGTAGTGGCGAAACAGGGGATTACTCTCCGTCGTCAGTGGCTCAAAGTCGTCGACGATACGCGCGAACGTTCAGCGCGCCGAGTCCGCGATGGCTTCGCTCATGCCTGTACGCCTCCCGCACGACGCTGCCCCACGTCCACTGGCTTGTCTGTGATGCAGGAAGAAGCTGAGAGAGAGAGCATTTAATCATCAACAGCGTTATCGCAGTAACAGCTGAGAGAGAGCAGAGAGAGGAGAGAGAGAGAGCAGAGAGAGTGAGAGAGTGAGAGAGAGAGAGAGAGAGAGAGAGAGAGAGAGAGAGAGAGAGAGAGAGAGAGAGAGAGAGAGAGAGAGAAAGAGAGAAGAGAGAGAGAGTACATTACAGTGTTATCGCACCAGCTACCGCTTGTCTGTGATGTAGGATCAGCTCATTACAAAAATGTGTATTAATGTACATTACAGCGTTATCTTACGACGGTATACTGTGATTATCATTGAGGGTTTTGTATGACAAGGATACATTTAACAGGATACATTCTAACGTGTATCGTACAGGAGTGGATATAACGTTTTAGAGTTATTGTATAACAACTTGACATTAACAGGGTTGTATTATAATGTTATTGTACAGGAGTGGATATAGGCTTGTGTGTTATTCTATAACACGCTTGTCATTAAACAAGGATATATTATAATGTTATTGTACAGGAGTGGATATAGGCTTTGTGTTATTGTATAACAACTTGACATTAACAGGGATATATTATAATGTTATTGTACACAGGAGTGGATATATGCTTTGGTGTTATTGTATAACAACTTGACATTAACAAGGATATATTTATAATGTTTATTGTACAGGAGTGGATATAGGGCTTTGGTGTTATTCTATAACAGCTTGTCATTAACAAGGATATATTATAATGTTATTGTACAGGAGTGGATATAGGCTTTGGTGTTATTCTATAACAGCTTGTCATTAACA